ACACGCACTTGTTTTCATTTCTAGGAAATCAAATCAGCTGAAGGAAGTTTTTTATTTTGACCACAGTCACAGTGCATCTAAACAAGTTGTAAAAAACAATTTCTTCAGGCAACTTTTACTCTGCTGGTTATAAAATCTTCTTAAAGGAGCTGCACACCTGTGTAGTCTTCCTTTAAATCTTCTTTGGGATGTTCTCATTGGATTTTTCACACATTTGAGTCCTAAATGTTTGAGTTGTCTCAATACATTTTTGAAAGCCTGGCTATCAACTACCAGAATTTTCATTTGCCTCTTTGATTCCCACCCCACCCCCCCACCCCCACACTTCTCACCTTCCTCTTGCAATATTTGGGACATTTGCTCTTAGTAGTGACTGGGCCAAGATATTTTGCAAAATCCAAGAAACAAAACTTATAATAACAAATAAAAATGTTTTCTTGGCACTATAGAGAAAACATGTACCTTCAAACAAGTGCCTTGCATCCACAGCAGAAAGCATTTGGCTGGTAATTAGGTGGGGGTAGGTGAGGGGAGAGAGGAAGCAGGGTCTGATGTTTTTGGTTGCAGCTGGTGAGCAACATCCCAGAGCTACCCCTCTACAGCAAGGAACTCACATTTTCTACCATGTTCTCACTTCCAGCATTTTATTAATTAACTGCTAAAGTTTTTGCTCTGATTCACCTTGGAATTCGGATCCTTTTTGAAAATAAGTTATCTTTAAATTAGAACATAGCATTTATTATGGCAGGAAATTCCAAGTAATTATTTTGTCCTTCTTTCTCCTCCTATTTTTTATTGAGCTAGATGTTGATTTTGGTGAACTGTACCTTTTCTACCCTAATCAATCTTGTTTCTCTTTTTTCCTTTAGCCTGAAGACTTCTGGTGTTTAGAATTAACTTTATTCTCAGTCCTTTTCCATTTTGTGCACGATTATGCACCCAATTAGAGGTAATTGTTTCCTTGTTCCTACAGCATCAGCCAAGCAAGCAGATCTCAGCTACCTCTGAGGGTTACAAGGAACCTCCATCCTAGAAAAAGTGCAGCAAAGACTTTGGTGATTTGGGCATGTTCATTGTTTTTTACCTGTAACAAACAAGCCTTAGATGGGTTTCACCTGCTACAATAAGCTGTGGGAAATAATGGAAATCTGGGTATTCTGAGCCAAGGAATGGCAGCATGAATGTTATATTGCTGTCACAAAGGTTGTTGATCAAGATTCTTTTTTAAATCAAAGCTTTAACATTTATTAGCTTTGTGTCAGGTTCTCTCTTGGGTTTTATTTGTAATTAAGAATAAATGCATAATTTTACTGATTTGACTGCAACTTTTTCAAACTCTTGAATTCCAGGATTGAATTCTTATCTGTTATCTGGGGCTCAGAAAAGGTATTTAACTGGGTCTAATCATGGCAAAATGCAAATTGTCATTAATTAAGTTTGTAATTGTGTAGCGGGAATGAGAATAATTTACAGAAGCTGGGGTAGGAGAAGACCTTTAAGTAGCAGTGCATGGCGAATGAGATGACCAGCTTGCATTATCACCAGGAGCTGCATGGCTAATCCAGCAGCCTCAGTGCTGGGGAAAATGTACCCTGGGATGTCAGGTGTTAAGGGGAAGAATGGGCCTCTCACGTTCTTTGCACTTACAAGCCGGCTGTAACCTTTTGACTCTCTCTCTCTTTCTCTTCTTGAGTTTTGTTTCCTGAAAGGAAAAGGGGGTGGGGGAACGCAGGGGAAGAAGGCTTAAAGAGTGAAGGATCTGTTTCAGAGTACTGTAGTGTATTTGCAAGGTTTTTGTTTGGTATTTTTTTAAAATTAAATGAGTTTTATTTTATTTCTTAAAGGAGCAGTTGCTTTTAATGTGGAATGTTTAGAGCTTGACTTAAGATATGAATGTCTGCTGAGTACCACTATTAACACTATAAACTTTACACATGTGATTCTGCCTCAAGTGTTTTGCACATAGTTTGTTTATCTTCCTAACTAAAATGAATTTAATCGCATTTAAGGGCATAACAGATGAGGAGAGATAGTTCTGTGAATTAATGTTGCTTTTCATAATGATCAGTGCAGAAAAACAGCTCCCAAATTACAAGAAATCCCTTTTATTCTCAAAGGATCCCTTAATGTAGCATGATCATATATTGATCACATTGAACTTGGGTGTAATCCTGGTCTGAAGATCTGCACATGCAAAGAAAAACTTGTGAAATTCTTGCACATTTAATCTCCTTGGTGACTCTGAGTTAGTAAGGGTGAAAATACCTTGATGCAAGGAGCTGAGCATTTACTTACTCTACAAGAATGTGCGACAAATAAGGGGAAAAAAAAAAAGGTGGCTAGTTAAGGTAGATCCCTGCAAATTCAATTACTTTGAGGAAAAGATCAGAATGTAGAAAAATACATGAAAACTTCTATTATCCTTTTCTGAAACAGTCTGATCTGGGCTGGTCCTTATTAGAATGTAAATGTGGAAACATTAAAGGTGGTGATTACTTCCATGAATTAAAAGGAATCTTGCTCATAGCACAGCAGCCTGAGAATGCTAAAGGAGTTTTGTATATTCCTGGTTGCCATCTTTGGTGTGAGCATCTCATTCCACTTCAAACTTTGTTATAGATAATTTTGAAATGGCTCACATTGCCTTTGTGTGGCTGAAATGTGGCAGCAATGGAGTGGAGCCAATGGAGTGGTAATTTTGCAGCCAGCAATCAGGAAAAGGAAGAGTCCTTAGCCAGGGGACTCAACTGTGCCAGGAGGAGCCATTATTCTATTATTATTTATAGTGTAGAAGCATTGTTTTAAGTTACATCAAAAACATCCTTTACATTTCTTTGCTATTTGTGTTGTAAATTTTCCATATCGACTTTTCCAAAGGAAAGGTGTGAACGTGTATCGAAGTGGGCTGCTTGGGATGCATCTTGCTGTGGAAATTGTGGGTTAAAGGGAAACCTGGAATCAATGGTAATTCCTCTGTTTCAGTCTGGAAGTTCACAGAGACAGGCCAGAGATGGAATGAGTTCTCCTTTTCTTAACACTTGCTGAGAGCAACACTCTAGACAGCCTGTCTCTTCACAAGCACAGTCCTCCCATTTTTTTCTACTATTAGGGAGTCCAACTTTTTGAGTTTTAAGCACCCAACCCTGTAAGCTTTCCAGGAGCCTTACAGAGGGCTAAAGGGGAAAGAACAAAGTGTATATTGTTTTTCATGTATATGGACTTGTTTTTATCTCCTGGAGGTTGCACAGATTTCAGAAGATTTGAGGTAGATAGTTTTCTTGTTTTCAGTTACTGAGAAGTCCAGGGTCAGTAAATATTTTATATTCAATCCTGCTTTAACTGCACTATGCAGAGCATGTGTTGGGAACCAGTATTGAAGAGATTTGCATACTGAGGATTATTATCATAATCCATTTTTTTATTGATAGACTTTGGAGAGGTGAAGGGCAATTTGACATAAATGCAGAAATTGAAGCAATGTCCCAGATAATTTGGGCTATTTGAAACACGAATGGGAACAGAACCCAAATAACCTAAATTCCAGTCCAATGTCTTAATCTTGAACCCATTTATTCCTTTTCAAAATTAAAGTTTTCATGATTGTTATTTCTACTGCTAGGGCTTTCCAAGGATATAAATGTGACCTAATTTATTAAATGCTGTCTTACGTGCAAGACAGAAGTAAAATCCTTACCCCAGGGCACTTACTCAGTGGCCATGATCCTGCAATCTGATCTCCTGAATGAATGTCTGAACTAACATGAGCCCTGCTGCCTGTTCTGAGAGTTTGGCTGGGATTTTAACCAGGAAGGGACATAAAGACTGCAGGTTGTCTACAACAGCCTCAATGAACTTCCCTACATGACCACTACTTTCCTACATGGTTGTGTGTTTCCTTGAGACCTCTATGAGCTTTTGTGTAGCTATTTCTCCATTACCTTCAGTAGATGGTGAAGTTTGGGCTAAAATGATTTTTCTTCTGTGTATAAGCCTTGATCTACGGCACTACTTAGAGATGCTTTGCGATGCACCTGGAGATTAAAGTGCATCGCCCCTGCAGTGCATTGATCTTGCCTGGCCCAGAAAGGGGTTGTCATAGATCTGCTTTTCAAATCAGGACTCCCTCATGGGTTTTTCCAAGGCATCATCTCCATGTCATTGGGTTGGCAGGATATGAAGCTGAGGGTCTTTTTGAAGTTTTCCTTCACACCAAGGGGTGTAACCTTGTTGTGTGGGAATCGTGGCAAGTTACACCCCCTCTTCCCTGTGTGTTCAGGGCAGGATAACTGTGTTCAAATATTCTTTTCTGTACTTTTGTAAAAGTAAACTGTTCAATTTGTTATCTTGGATTATTAAAATGAAGAATGCAGTCTGAATGCTGAGAACTCGTCTCTTGCAAAGGACTGAAATACAGGGGATAAACTTCATTAATTAATTAAATAGTCCTATAAACATCCATGCCTTTGCAGCTACACACAATAGTCTTATTTTAAAAAGCATGATCATGTGCTTCATCAAATATCACTCAGGCCAGTATTATTTAGTATTTGAATACCACTTAAAGACTGCTTATGCATCTCACATTTATTTTTTCTTCCTTTTTTTTTTTTTCCGAGTATAAAAAAAAATTTAGTTTCCTGCATCAAATTATTTGTTATTGGAAAAGGAAAGCAACATTTCTTTATGCAAAACTCTTCTTCCTTCAAAACTGGTACATGGAAAGTATTTTCCAGCTTTTGAAGTTTATTTGATTTTGAACACTTTTGGTTATGTAAGTTTTAATAAGTAGCTTTGGTGTACCCCTAAAGGCACACCCCACACACTTATGTTGTGTGACCTAGGGTCACAAGTAATGGCTGCAAGCTAATTGATTGAGAAAGGCTTGTCTGACTGGGCCCCTTTGAGTCCTCCCTTTACATTCCTAAATTTCTGTAAAGGAGGCACTGGCAGCTTTGCCTGGTGAGAGGAGGGGTTGGGGGAAAGGGAGGAAGTTTCTCAGTTTCTGATTATGCGCAGAGTTTCCTTGTACTGAGCTTATGTTCTCCACCCACTACTTAGTAAGAACTCCTTAACAACTTAAAGCTTTATCCCTGTGAGTACCAGAAAAGTGATCTGAGTATTTATTGAGCAGGGAAAACAAACTGCTTGCTCCAGGCAGAGAGAAAGCTTATGGAAATGATATTAGACCTTCAGTAAAGTGCACAGCTGCATCATACAGAAGCTGAGACTCAAACTGACAGGCAAATAAGCCAGATCACGGAAGGGGCCTCTGTGTGGCAGCTCTGAGCTACCAAGTGTTGGACAACTAGGCAAAAAGTGCAGTGGAACAGGGCAGAAAATAACACACTAACTTCAGGCAACTGTTGCTTATTCATGGTGAGTCCAGATTTGAAATGTTGTTTGAAATGTAGCTTTTTTTGTTGTCTCTAAAAACCCTTCCGTTTTACCACAGCAATCCTTCTGCAGAGCTCATTGTGTTCCAGATGATTTCTCCGGATGTGCACTTCAGTTCTGAACGATACAGAAATGCACAGGGATAGCCTTTTCCTCGCTGCTTGCTCTCTCGTGCTTTTCTTGCTTCAGGAGACAGGTCCTATTTCTAAAAGCACACTGCATGGCTTCTGATTTGGAAAGAAATCGTTGTGCAGCCAGCACTTGGTGTGCAGCTGCATGGAGGTGAATAAGTGAACATAATTTCTGTGCAGTTTTCTGCAGTTTGAGCTTTGTGGCACCTTTCCATTGCTCCTTATTTCACTGCCTTATCTTGAGAATGTATGGCACGGTCACTATGAAAAGAGCTTTGTGTTTGAATTCCTGGTGAGTCGAAGGGTCAGGGCCTATGAGTTATCTGCCTGCCAGCAAGACTCATTGCCGTGTCCCTTTATTTTTCAAGCTGAAATAGGAAAAACATGTGTCCTCATCCCTTTTTTATAAATGCATTTTGAATTCAGGTTTTACATGCTGTTTGTGTGTGCTTTGTTCTTTTGACAAACTTGGGCTTTGGGAGGAGGCCAGTTTTATTCTATCCGTATTTATTTTATTTATTCAAGCTTTCCTGCAGCTTTTCTGAATTCCTTTGTTGTGATGCATGTAATTTTTCCTTAAAACAATATTCTGAGGTTCTGATTTCTGTTGAGAGAAAAAGGATTTATGCTCTGAAACATATTTCCAAAATTACCAGAGAGCTGTCTAAATTTTAGGTAAGTTGCACAGTTATACAGAAGATAAAGCTTTTATAACATTTTACTTGCTTAAGGAGGGAAACACAACACTTGTGGATAAGTTCTTGAGCAGATTGTGTTAGATCCACTAGTCATCTAGTGTAATGGCAATAAATATGATCTGAGCTGTAATGTTATTTCAGTTAGGAGTTTGAAAAAGCTCCTTCATTAGCACAGCAACAGAATTTAACATTGCATGCTGACAGTAATGTTAGAAATATGTTTGTGAAAATTGCTGAGTGGATGAAATTTAGAGTAACAAATCATCAAAGCATGTCAAAGTTACTCTCTATGTGAGGTTTGAAGATATCTGTAATTTAGAGGAGAGTCTGCTTTTTCTTCAGCAGAAGTGTGATTCTGTATAAAATTATTTTCATCATATAATTCAAGTGCACGAAAAATCTTAAAATTAGGTAGCAGTTATTTGGGGTTAAATGGAAAATCCCCATTTGATAGGATAATTCTAATATGCAATGTAAGAAGTTGGTCAGATGAAATCTGCACAGAGGGTATGTTACTACTTGTTTCTTGATCTGTCTTTCTGTTTTTATGCTCACCTAACAATTAGCAGAATGCTTGCTTGAAAAAAAAAATTATGGTGTTTCAGATCTGATTTGATCTGATGTTACAGTCCCTTTCAGGTGCAGTCATGTTGTTTACCTATTGTGTCCTTTCTTATTTGCCAGTTTGAGATCTTGAGTTCACCCATCAATTTTGAAAATGGTTTTAATAGAAAGGGGGGGTTGTGCCAGAGAAATGCTAAGAAATAGGGATTTGAATGCAATGCTGCAATGTAAGTGGACCTCAAACTTTGTGTTTCCTTGTTTTGAATTGAATTTCTGTATATTTCGACTTGGGCTAAGCATTCCTTCCATAAGAAAATCTTTGACTTGTGCTCTTAGCTCAGTTAAGGATGTTCTTTTCTTTTAGGAGTTTCAGGCTTGCTCTGAGGGAAAGAAATATGTTCTCTTTGGTAGCATGAATGTACAATTTCCTTCTTGGCTATGCTGTGAGGGAGGAATACCTGCTGCAGCGCTCTTTATACAAAAGATACTTTGAGGAGGTGGTCTCCTCCCAGGTTTGGAGTCCTGGGGTCTCACCCCCCTCCGGGTGGTCACGAGGCCCCTGGGGAGCAGGGAAAGGTGGGCGCTCACACGTAGGCACACGAACAGAGGATCCATCCTTCTGTGCTCTGGGGTTTCCAGTGGCAAAATAATGCACCAGTGCTGTTGTGACACCAGACTGGAGGATTATGAACCATGTCTTCATGCTCTGATGACCAGCCTGATGATGGGGAAAAGGTTTAATGAGGAAGAGAAGAATTTACTGAGGATTTTATGCCTATATCTATTATTAAAAGCAGAATATCTGCTCACAGTGGTTGCGTTCTCTGATTCAAGGAAAGCCAGAAATAATGATGATTATATGTGGTATTCTTACTGGCTGTCTGAGGACTGGCACAACTTAATGTGACCGGCAAGAAGCTTAAACATCAATATCTCCAAATACTATTATTCTCTCTTAGAGAAAGCCAAAGAACCATGAGCTCAGACTAAAATAATTATACAATCTTTTTTAGTTCTCTCTGACACCAGTTAGTGAAAAAAAAAAGTAGTTTTTAAAAGGTCAAATGTTTGAAAGGTTTTTCTTTTATGTTATTAATGTTTTTCAATGAGTAAATAGATTTGTTTTGTGAATTACATAGAAAGTCATTTTGGAAGTTCACTTTTAGGTTCGTTCTATTCTGTATGAAAGAAGGAAACCCTTTATTTACTAGATCTGTTCCTTTTTATTGGTACCAGTATAATAACAGAAACACGTGTGCATGACACCTATGGATATCTTTAGAGTCACAATAGAAATCATGAAAACTCAAGACTAGTAGTTGACTTTTCTTTCAAAGAGAGGAGCTAGTTTGTGCTGTCATGACAAGGTGATGTCTCTAACAATAGATGAAGAAAAATTGGCGGGTGTAAGAGAATTTTAGTATTCACAGAGTCAGTGAATCACAGTGTTGTTAAAATGAATTAAAAAAAATAACTCTAAGTTAATCCCTAATAATTTTGATTTTTTATTTTTAAGAATTAAAAAAAAACCCCAAAGATAAAAATTGATTTAATCTTCTCAGCTGCAATTCATGATCACATTGGAATGTGATCTTTGGAATACCCGAATTAACTTTCAGTTTGCATTTATTTTTATTCAAACCATCACCAGAATACTGTCCCAGAAGGTGATGATTAAGGGGAAAGAAGAGATAAAAGGAGAAACATTTGGCCTATGAAGTGATTTAAGTACTTTTAATATGTGAGTAAAAGCAAATGATCAGGGAGAAGAAGCAGAAGTGAGGATAGTAATAAGAGTGGCAGAACTTAACAAGCAAACCAGAGGAGACCTAAAATAGAAGGTGCATGGCATGGGAGAAGAAACCCACCCTGTCTGAAATTATTTGAGATGAGTCTTGGGAATTTTGCTGTCTTTCTCTGGGTTTGTTCAGAAGTATTACCACTGCTGGCAGCCAGTTTTATAACTGAAGTTATAAATTCACCCAAGAAAGAAGGCTGTTCCTTCCAAAACTATGATCACAGCATTTCAGAGAGGAGTATGTGACATGGAGCCTCTCTTTTCCACCTAACATCCTCTTCTATTTCTGTGTCCTCTTATATAGTTCTCTCTGTCTAGCTGTGCAGGTAGAGGTGAGGATCATGGTTACATCCATCAGGTCAGGTTGTGACTGTTTTTGAGCACAGGTTAAATTTGTTGGGTTTTTTTTTCCAACTCCTACGAGACCCCTGCAACTTTTTAAATGTTCTTGTCCTTTTGGCAGTTCTGATTCTTGGCTCTGGGGGAGATGGGTGAGAAACATCAATGAACTTTCCTCTGCTTCTCCTCTGACCAAGCCATCCACTTTAAATTCTTTTTATCACCCATGGCTTTATTTGGGCCTCTGTCAAAGATCCGACTGATTTTGGTAGGGATTGGGTGAGGCCAGCAGGGGAGTCCAAAACTGTGTTCATGATGGTTTTCAGTGTATGAATGTGGCACCATAATGGTTTAAGATTCCTCAGTATTCTACTGTAAACAACACCAAAGTCCACAACCACAGAAGTACATACAGTGCTATCTCCAGTTTCTGAAATATCTGTCTCTCCGTTACAGAAATGTTTGGTGATTCAGGCAACAACTAGATGAACTTTCCAATTCTGACATTACCTTTAAAACCCCAAGACTGTGGTAGTATTAACTATGTAACCTCAGTTTATTCAGCAGCACGACAGAGGTAGGTAACAAATACAGCTTCAAGTACTGCAAAAAGCACACTCTTCTTTCAGGCCATTTTGAGTGACAGTATTCAATTTGTATCATCAACTGTCCACATCTCCTCTTAACCCAAAAGGTCCCATGGACCATAAATTTACTGTGAAAGACCTGCAATTGGTCCAGTTTTGAACAGTGCACATTGAGTTGTCTTAAAGGGAAAGATAAATTAAAGAGAAGGCCCTATGCTGAAGTACATGTCCCATTATTGTTCAGAATTTTCATTATTTCCAAAAAGCAGCAGCAGCAGCTGAAGACACCCTCCTAAGAATAGTCCTTTGTGGCAGAGCTGGGTGGAGGTATCCCAGTGCTTCTTCTCGCCCCCCCACTTCTCTGCTAACCAAAACTGTGTATGTTATGGCCAGGCTGGTGGAAGTATCTTCAAAGTGCCTTTCCTAAGGTCACTTGATTTTGAAGTCCCTCTGGATCGAGGACCAATATCCTCTGAAAATACTGCCTGTGGTTTTGGTCTGTATTTTATAAGTTGTTCATTACTGTGTCCTGGTTGTCACGGAGCATCTGTTATTTAGGTCTGTGTGTAATAAATTCCTGAAACAAGAACCTGTGCCTTTAGTAGGGGAAAGTAAATTATAACATATAAACAATGAAAATTGAAGAGACAGTGATTGGCACAGAAATTTATTCAAAAAACATACAAAATATGACACAGCAGCATGACAGAATCAGCCTGAGTTAGAAATACCTTTGAATTGTGTGGAAAGCAGAATGCACTTTCTATGAGCCCCTTAAAGGTTCTTTCAAGCTCTGGCTGAAAATTCACAAGGAAGGCTTTTTCCAGAAGTATCCATTGTAGGTCCAGCTACCTTTCCACTGACA